AGGTCACTACCTCGTTTCGCTTCCTCATCTCGAGGACCTCCACATTCTTGTGCCCGACCTGCGGAGGAAAAGATAAGTCAACAAACACTGAATTATGAGAACGGTGAGCAGATTTACGTACGATAAAAATCCTGCACAGCAAGATCAGCCTTTTCTCGGAGCACTCCCTCCAAAGTCGCCCGAAGCTCGCCTAATTCCTTCTCTTTCGGGCTGAGAAGGCCTTCGATTCCTGCAGTCCTGAGGTGAGTTTCTCGAGCTCCTTTTCACGGCATGAAAGCTCCTCTCGGAGTCTGGAGAGGGCGTGATCATGCATCTCCTTAGACTGCGACGGAACAGAAGAGTCAGAAAAAACAAGAAAAAATGCGTGAGAATAAAAGGATACACATGAACAGCTATCACCTGCCGCTGGAACCTCTCTACTGCCTTGACGGTGCTGGGAGCGTCGAGATCGATGTCCTCGCTGACATTGTCAATATCATCAAGGAAGTCACCGAACGCACATTCCCCTTGAGAGGATCCCTCGCGTTGGCGGCATTTGGACCCTGGGCATCCCTTAACTCCCCCGATGAGACCTGAGGGCCCAAATTAAGGCCACCCAGGGCATCGATGTCATCAAGGGGCAAATCCTGCCCCCCAAAAGCTCTGGGCCCAGACCCTTTGGAACTACCAGCAACGATCTCCTCTGCGGGGGCTGCGCCACGACCAATCAGGGGCATAGGGGTCGCACCCGTGCCCTCTTCGAGGCCCTTCGAGGTGTAGGCTCGAGCCGATTCAGTTTTCCCCGACTCGACGCCCTTTGGCGCAGGCACTTGGGGGGCTTCCATGCCCGATTTTCTCCTTCGTGCCAAAGGAGCCTCATCTCCATCATCGCCCTCATCATCAGAGCCCACTCCAGAAGCTGAAGACGAGACCTCGGCTTCGGCCCGAGATCTGCTGGACCTGGTTTTCCTCGCCATAGGGGACGCAGCGGCCAAACCTTTCTTCCTCTTCTTGCCTTTGTCAGGCTCCGGAGCCTCCTCCTCACCATTGGGGGGCGATCTCATCTGCACTCCTTCGCCAAGGCCTTCGCAAGAATAGCGCTCGAAATTTGTCAGCACAAAGAATATGGGGAAGAGATGCAAAAACATAGTGAGAGCGGCGAGAAGTATTTTACCATGATTCTTGGCCACCCACCGTGTTTTGGCCAGATCGAGCCAAGACCGCCCAAGATACGGGAACGAAGAATCCAATCGCTTGATCCATCTCGGCAGATCCTGGACCGCTTCGGGATACCAAGCGGTAGCTGCAAAAACCAAGGGGAGATAATTTTTCGGAAGAAAGGTAAGAAGGCCACAAAGCATGATCCGCAAGAAAAATACTTATGCTGAGTATTCCACTTCTCCGGGAATGGCATCTTCTCGGCCGGGATGATGTCCGAGGTCCTCACTCGGACGAACCTGCTCATCCACCCTCGATATTTATCCTCATCAATGCTCGAGAAAAAAGACTTCTTGGATCGAGGGTGAAACCTAATCAAATCTCGATAAAACCAAGGACTATACAATCTTATCAAATGATCGAGGGTAAAGGCCGCACCCTCGACCTTGTTGGAAAAGTGGCGGAGCATGTAGACAATCCTCCAGAAAGATGGATAGATTTGACCAAGCGTCACTTGGTACTTATCGCAGAAATCGAGAATAACCGGATCTATCGCCGGGGAAGAAGGGTTTAAAGAATCGACCGGACCCAAAGTGAACGGGTAAGTATATACATAAAGGAAACCCGCTTTGTGATCCGTTACGCTTTCGCTAGAACGGGGTATCTCAACCAGCACTGCCTCCCCCCATCGGCAGTCTCCTTTCACTTTCCATACATCGGTCACAACGCTAATATACCGGGACACGTGCTCGCATCGGCCCGGTACAGATGAAGTTCTATCGACGGAAAAATCCTTCGTCGTATCAAACTCAACGGGAGTACACTATTCGATGATGGGTATCACTTTAGGTTTTCCTTTGGATGCCTGGGATGAAGAGGCAGCCTCATCCTTCCTGGGAACCGTCTTGGAAGTTCTAGGTATAATGGTGCTAAAGCTTTTTTGAGAAAGTAGGCAAAGGATCGGGAACGTAAGAGGAAAAAACGTGAAAAGAGATGAATTTAGCCTTGAAAATTTGAAGGTATTATGAAAGTGTGAATTATCAAACGATTGATACATTTATAGGAGCCATGTGGGCAGCGGAAAGGACGAACCAATAGCGGTTCGTGGGCTTCTCGATAGTCGTGTTTGACGGCGACCCGTGTGCGGCATTTTGAGTATGGCATTTAATGCTCTGGTGAGCTGACGTCATGACGACGATGCTTACAGAGTAGGAGTTCAAATGCGTTTCCTATCACATTGCTCTAGAAAACGCGGGGACTATCTGTGTACGGTGGAAATCGACGGTTCGATTTCATGAGCATCAAGGCGTCTCCGGGGTTTCCTATGATCGACTCTGAGAATTATTGATGGTTGACTTCGAGATAGTATAAGTACTTACCGGCCCCGAGGCAACGTAAATTAGTGGTCTCAGCGGACCGAGGTGAAGTTCCCAAGGCACGCACATATAGCCTATCAAGTCTAGTGGGCCAGTAAAAAGGCGAATCAAGGCATTAAATGGCTATGTCAACCCATATCTTTGTAATTAATGCTTTTGTACTATATTGGGATTCCTCTCATATATAAAGGGAATCTTTGTCATTTTGTAGACATCTGTTGCTCCATACGAAAATATACAAGAATTCTCTCTCCCTCTCTTTAACACATTCTCTTGAGTTCATTACTCCACTTATTGCTTGCATTCATTGTATTCTATTTATTGTTCATCATTTATTGCTCATTATTGGTCATAAAGAGCCGTCATTGATCTTACTCAAACTGTTAGTTGCCCATCGCTTACCCCCGACAGCTCCCGGCCGAGCCTCCGACTCGACCCCCGGTCCTCGAATGAGCAAGCTCGAGGCGCCGGTTATCAACCATTCGGTTCGATGATCACCTTGCTCTCAAGCTCTAATATCGTTTCTTAGTCTTTCACATAGCATCAACTGCTTAACAACCGGCATAAAAATAGATCATGTATTTTTAGAATTCCATAATCAAATTTAATTGTTATTACCATTTTTACGGTAAACAATTAGTAAATATATAGTCAAATATGGACAAACCCCTAAAAAATTTATGCCCATTTTTTCCATTTTACTGTAGGTAGTTGATCTCGTAACCACGACATTTCTATGAACACAAGATCAAGGATAAACTTATTCAATGGAAATGCTTATTATCACTCGTCAAGCAAAAGTAGAAGAAAAAGAAGCACAAGAAATCTGTTGTACATCATGTGACTTTTAAAGCTTTAGGAAAATAGTGCATAAATCACTCATTTTTACCCTTTACTCTTTTCTTTGATTCTCCCAAGTAAAACGGGAAGCAGGTCAATTTTGCCCAAAAGAAAATGTACTGTTAAACCCTACGAGGTGGATCCAGAATTTTAATTTTATGGGTTCAAGATTTCGATTTCAACTATTGACCCATCACTTTGTATGAGTTATGGGTTCATAGCTCAATATTTTCGGTAGTATTAGTGAATATTATACTGAAAATCCAGGTCTAGGATAAAAGTTATGGGTTCAATTGAACCTATAACTAATATGTTGGATTCACCCCTGGTTGATTCTCCTTATCTGTCCAAGCCTTATTGGACAAAGTTATTCGATACATGTACTGGTGGGAGATAGTAGGTATCTCATGAAATTAGTCGAGATATCCGTAAGTTGGCTCTAAAAACAGTTATTAAAAAGAATGCATTGTAAGATATACCTTAGTAACGAAGAACGAAAGCATGTAAACGTGTAAAGAGAAAAGATATATATGTTGTTGAATAATACAGTAGGAGTATTTGATAAAAGAACATATGAAAAATAGCCATTCTTTTCAGTGGGGTCCAATATTTTCTTTGTGACACTAAAAAATTGCAGGCAAACATGAATTTCTATTGTCTATACTGTATAATGACTATTTCACATGCATTTGAGAGCCTTCATATTCTCTAACCTAATGTCAAGTGCATAAAACAAAAGTGCTGCTCCTATAAAGTTTCAGTTTCTTTTTCTTTCATTTCTGTTGAATAAAGGAATACTAATGTGGTTTAGACACTTGAACAACAAGATACATAATTGTAAATGTAAAAGAAAACAAGTGTTGACAATGAGGAATCAGTTGTCTGCCTTATCATTGGCATCCTTTCGAAATTCCCTTCTTTTCTGACTAATCATTTCATAAATTATTAATCTTACCAAAGTTTGGTAGCATAATTATAAGGTGGTTGTTGGAGACATTTTTTATTTTCTTCCCTCACATGTTGGTAACTAGTATCAGGATTACACTTTTCTATCAACAACTTCAACCCGCCAATTAGTCGTCATTATTTTTTTCAAGCGATACTCTATAAAATACAGAAATAAATGTAAAATTTTCAGTCTTACCCCTTTGTTAGGCAACTCTGTCATTTAAAATATATATATATATGTGGATTTTAACTAGACCTAAAACAATTATGAGCTAAATATAACGAGGGAAAACTGAATCGTAGAGTATATAATTAATTTGTTATTCTCACAGCTTAGAATGTCGTCTCTCCAAGTGGAACGAGCGAATCTTACGTATTAAATTGGTGAACTTGTTTTTTTTAAAATAACCGTGTAAAGTCAATATTGTACATAAGCTAAAGTTAGCAGTCCAACTCAGACATATGCATCTAACAAACTCTTGAAGGGAATCGTGTGGACGTCCATGAATTACGTGGACGATTCTATACTTGATTTAGCACTATTACTTGCTAATTTAAGCCTAATTATGTAATCGAATTCATTCAAACGCAACGTCATATCTATGTAATACCTTTAGTTTTATCCTTTTCAAAAATACCAAATTCTTCAAAATAAAATTAAATTGTTCTATTACACAAGTTGGAATACCACACCCTGGGTTAATCACTAAGAATTGTGAAAAAGAGGGGAGAGAGAGGGACGATTAGGAGAAGTTTTTGCACCAATTTTCAGGCCAATGTCCTGCACATCATATACATTTTATACAAATGTTTTCGATTAGTTCTACCCGAAAAGAAGACAAATGAACTTGTTTTCAAGCTCCAACCTCCCAGGAAAGACGGGACTTCTCCTTCAAAGATGTAGAACAAGCTAGTTTCTTTATACAAATCTGTTGAGGATTAAATCATCGTGCAGTCACTTTTATAAGATATTTGAACCTGCAATTAGCATATTGCGCTTTCATTGTGAACAACTCTTCGTTTTGCCCGCAGTCTGAAAAATGTATGTACAGCGACACTCAGTCTTGACAAACACTTTTGATCGTACAAGCAATCCCTCTTTCACTAGGATTGAAGAACAACTCCATGCTCTAAAAGCTCGGATAAAACACTTCTCATTTTGTCAACTGAAACAGGTTTCAGAATAACTCCATCCATACCAACTCTCATGCAGTTTTCTTTTGTCACTCGGTCAGTGTTTCCTGTTAGTGCCACAATAAGTGGCCTGTTGTGACGTTTCCCAAACTTTTCATGTATCTTCACAGCAACTTCATAACAGTTTATACCTGGTATACTCACGTCCATGAATAATACTTTGTGTTCCTGAGTAAGAACTCTCAAGCACTCATCACCGGAGCAAGCCGTGGTTACATCGCACCCTAGGTGTACTAGCAGACCCTTGGTCACCATCCTGCTAAACCTGCATAAAAAAGATTCGAAATGGATACATCATATTAATCTCTTAAGTCGATATAGATCATTTTCAAAATATACTATATTTGCAAAAACCTGATGAACAGAGACATCGCTGCCACTAACACAAATTTTTGTAATCAATTTATAGCCACCAACAGTGAAGGAGAATAAAGAAAAAAAGAAAAAGTTATGGATATTTATCAAAAAGATAAAAAGAGACAACAATCAAACTTCTCTATAACAGCCTCGTTTGTTCCCATATTTTTTTGCTGCTATAGTGGAGTGCTATTATCAGGGGCGGATTTACATGGAGCCAAGCGGTGTCGTCGAAATTTTTTACTACTTATATATTTAATAATAATAAGTAAAACAGAAATACAAGATAAAACCATTAAAAGTGACACCACTTGCAACAAAACAGCTCAGTAGTCTAGTGGTTGATAGCTTCATGTTTGTTGTGAGAGGTCTTGGGTTCGAACTCCCTTGGCTCCACAAAATATTTTTTTGACTGTTACGGGCCTCTTACTAGAAATAGTGACACCGCTTATGAAAAATCCTGCGTACGCCACTGGCTATTATTATAAAGGATATATATTATAACATAATATAAAAATCAGTTCCGAGAAAAACTTAGCTTTTATAGCAAATGACTATTATATAGAGATGTTGTTATAGAGAGGTCTGACTGTATAACTTTTTTGTTCGAAAGAATCCTCTATACCTTGCTCTAAGATGTGTCTTTATCAATATTTATTAATCCCTTTGCCACGAAAAGAATAAAGGAGCTTATTTACTTGCATATATTATTACTTAATCCTTTAAAATAAGTAAATTTGAAAACCACATAAAACTACTATAAATCACATTTTCTCATAGTCTAAGATAGGGTCCAAAAATAGAGGTTTGAATTCTAATCTTTCCTGCTGCTTTGCTTTCTTCTTCCTCGTTTTTTTTTTGTTTTACTTTTTTCTTTAACCTCCTTCAATTTTCCTTTTAGCACGATAAGACCTATAATGTACTCCTTATCCAATTTTGCTAATACAAGACGAAACATCATGCATTTAATAACTACATATCAAGAAATAATTAACAAGCTAAATGAGGTATGCAATGAAAGATCAAACTTCAGCAGCAAGTGGAACCAGAACCAAATGATTATGATTTTTGCAGGAAATAATTAAATGAATGAGGGCCTATTTTTTTTTTTTTAGGGGGGGGGGGGGGGGGGGGGTAGGTAGGGAAAAGTAAAGCAGAGCATGCTGTCTGTAAGTTTAAAAGGTTAATTCTATGTCT